GGCGCACCGAGAGCTTCCAACATCCTTACCTGCATGTATCATGAATAGGCGGGCGGGCGGTGTATTGGGTCAGATCGGTCTGTTATTCTACCTCCGCTTTTTACCCCCACAGGAATTACTGCTGGATCAATTGATCCAAGCGCTATTCACCGGTATTCTGGGAGGCCAAGTTACCATAACGTTCTAGGCCGGGGAGCGGGCCCGCCCGCGGGAGGTCAATCAGCTAAAATGCACCAAAAATTCCGAAATCTAGAAACCTCAATTGAACGCCAGCAGTGAGTAGGAGAGAGTGAATTCAGGGGAGTGGGATGTATTCCCGATAGCACAGTATGTTAGATATTTCCTTTTTCTTACCGAATTCGGAGTTTTGATTTGGCGAACCCACATACAAATGATTCACTGCTGGATCGGGCCCTCTCCCAGTCCAATGTGTTATTGAAGGGCCCGTCCCCGCCCGGCTACGGATTTCACTATCACTATACCTAGCGTATGAGGAATTGTTATTAGAGAGGATGGTGGATCGATGGCCGGGGGATAGAAGACCGCAAGACACTCATGCTGCTCAGCCAAGGCCCGGATTCCCATTTGTCTCGGGAGGTAAAGTGCCCGCTCAAAATCCTTGCGTTGGAAATACTGCTGTGTGCGTTGTCCACCGATCCCTCCATTCCGAAGACCCGTATGTGGATTTGTGACTACTTTTCGCCACAATCTTTGCGCTTTGGTCGACGCAGTTCTTGCACGCCTGTCAGATGCACAGTATTCCTATCTCACTCCCTGCTTTGTTGAAAATAATAGCTGGCGGTGTTCAAGAACCCATCGGCCATCTACCGTTTTGGGGGAATGTCACATTTGGGGCAATCTGTCAGGCAGGAGCAGGAACAAAATGTATCACCTCTGGTTTCATACGGTATCACTCGTTAATTGATCATAAAAAAGTATATTTTTGGGATAGTCACCCTCCCTGCTTAGATTTGTAGATTTTGGAGGTAGGCCAGTGTGCATAACATGGCATCATGGCGTCATGGCATCATGCTCAGCATCTGACCCAGCGAAACAGTAATGGGTGGGGAGGGTTGCGGGACACATTCCCCAACTATGACTCGTGATTAGGGGTTAATTGGTGTTTATGGAATTTTAAGCGCTGAATCGGCTAGGCACTTCACGTGATATTGCCGTGGGGACAACAATCTCGTTTCTTATCTGCCACGGGATCCTTCCCGCTTGCAACGACTGTGCCCAAGGAGGCGCGTGTCATGTCATGACCTAGGATTATATCGCACAACGGATTTAAAACAAAACAATACAAAACAAAACAAAGGCTTGGGATAATAACACGCACCCTACAGGCAGGTAGATCCGATTTCTTCCTTAGCGTGACGCTAGCGATGAGTTGACGGCACCACAAAACTGAACTACCGTAGTGCATAATGGGAGTGGACACATTACCAGGGAAGGGGAAGGAAGGGGAATTATGAGCACTGGCCAATGATAGATAGCAATGAAGCCCCTTATTATCCAACAGGACAATCACTATAATACCAGAATACCAACGGTAGGGGTGACAGGAAAAGAAAAAAAACATGAAGGTTGGGGATAGGATTTGGAATGGACGGATTCGGAAAGTAGTCCAGTGTTTTACGACGGATTTGAGGATCCCGACACCTCTATCCCCGGACATTCTACCAATTGGCGGGTACTGTGTACGGGCACTAAGACCTTGTTTCGGTGAGTGTATAACGGGGGAACCGGTACTCAAGCGCATTCTACCCTCGTTTAGGCCATCCTGTTAGACTTTCAGGTAGAAAATCCAGTTCCATTAAGCGACTCACGAAATATCACTCTTGCGCTGCCACTGCGTATCCAGCATCTGCGGAAAAACATCGGGGCAGGATGGTAAGAGACAGAACCTATAGGGGTTTGGCAGTCACTACCAGTGATACACCCGAAGCCAAGAATACTATAATAAGTCCTTCTTTGGGCATGTTGGTGAAGGCTTCGGTCCGACGTTTACCGAATGAGGTACAAGTTAACTAGTCGGATCGTGAGAAGCCATGTATTTCCAATACCGATGATCATTTACCCACCCGCTTCTCGCTCACGCGGATGAGATTGAAATTCCTCAAAGGATGGGAATTAAATACTGCAGGTAGCGGAAAAATCACACCCGGGTTTGGTCTACCGTACGGTATCATAACTTACATCGTCCAAGCCCCACACTTAAAGTACTCTTTTTACAAGATTTCCACGGTATGCTAACTAAAATCTATCACCAGCCTGTTAAGCAGGTTATCCAAACCAGGAAATGAACACTGCCGAACGCTGAGTATGCCAGTAGAACATAGCCCAGAAGCCCCCACCCCCGATACAGACACGGGTGGTGGCGCTCTGGATGATGTGATTTCGAACTCTCGGGAGAAATCTCCATTTAGCATCATGGGGGAAATTAGAAATCTGCCGGTAGTTAAGCACTACAAGGACATCATATACCCCAGTAACAGACCCGCTTCCCCGCGGGTGAGGGCCGATATCTTAATTCTTGCAAGGTGTAATACTGCACTTCCAAACGAACAGCAGGGCTGTGGATCTGTCGGGAAGCCCCTAGAAGCCGTCTCCCACGATTTTCGAAAGTATTAACGGTTTGTGAGTGAGTGATAGGTTGAAAAAAGGCGAGGTTCCCTCTCGTTTTGGACACCTACTACCGTACTTGTGTGCTCCGGTTGGCTTGGTCCACTTACGGTATCTGAAACCTTCGTTGCTTTCCTCTGGACGATTCGTTGAAGCTCCTGCAGAGTCATAATTTTACATGAAAAAGGGGTATACTTTCTCTCCATGTTGCTATTCGACGATTACACTTTGCTAAGCTGGGAGGGAAACTGCTTTTTTCAGCTCCGCTCAAGTTGCCCAGGCTTTCTCGAATCACAAGATCTTATGATATCCTGCCTAGTTAGTCATTCGTCTTTGATAACTTAGTTAGATAAGAATCGATCAAAACAAAAAATCATGTCGGTATACTTCGGTAAATGCCGTATAAATACATGGTCGAGACGTGAATGTCAAAGCCAATCTGAGTCCAATACTTGCTTGACCCTGTGGAAGAACTGTTGAGACTGTGACAACGTGCATTGACTTACGCATAGGCTGCATTGATATAGCAGAGCGATGGGTGACATTAGTATATTTCCCATCATAAGCTAGCAAGAACAAAGGGATGAAGAACCATCACGAAGCCATTTCCGATAAGGCCGTCCCGGAACTACCCGAGAAATGCAATTTGCCGTCAGTACCACCACCATGTCTATTGTCTAGTGCGTTCCATGCTCCACTCCAGACCTGTTGGTGCCCCGTCTTTCATAGTAATACGGATTTCTGATATGATACCAAGTTTGCGTAATAACCCATCACGTGAAGACCATGACTTGCTGGGGGCCATCAGTTTTATAGCTTTGGAGAACTCGGGCGGCCCAAGGAGCGCCAGAACCACCATCCCATGAAAGCACACTAGAGGGATGAGCAATATACTGGAGCTAACCTCACCACAGTTTAACGTGTCGCAATACCGCTCCCAACCACTTGATATCCATGGGAACCCCGGGAAGATCGAAGCAGACATAGGTGCGCACCACACTACGGCGGTGAACGAGCGGGATGTTCCTACGGAGGTACCGATCCATTGAAAAGGGTTAAAGGTGCTGCCCAAACATTGTCGACAATTCGTTGAGACCAGGTAAATGCATCAATTCGGTGCTTACGGTTTCTACGATTCTATGCTCGGGTGTCGGATACCGGTACACTTCTTTGATTCGCGTTAGTACTATCTCGGAAGGGAGGGTACGAAGCAAAAAAACTCGCCTACCCAGTTGCTAGAAATCATATAAGTGAACGAGACCGGACGCTCAAGTCCGTTTAAAAGCTATGGAACTCTTGCGTGGTTTAGGGTCCACACGTCGTAGAGCTCTAAGTCAATCGGTTGACCCTCTCATTGCAAGGCCAGGAAAGTGCAGGGTGAAAACCGGAATGTGAACCCTTATATCGCCTCAATTCATTACAGCTTAGAGCGACAGCCATAATAATAGACAATAAATACAAATTTCCTAGTCTAGCACAGGCTTCCGGATTGCAAGAATCCAACCTCCCATTCCTATTCCTGTTTTCCCAACTCCTGCCTTGAATGGCAATTAACATTCTTCAAATTCCACCTTCCACATCAACAGCATTCCTATACCAATTCCAACCATCACATATACTGGTACAAGAATGATACCAACAAACTCGTTCCATACAACACAGGGAACAGTTTACAATCGAGTGATATCTTATGCATGCTTGGGACTGCTGGGCAATTGGTTGTATCCAAAGTCTGCTCCGAGGCAGCTAAGATCACTCTTCAGTGAAATGAACTGCCAGCGCATGTGCCTAATAAACACCGTATATTATTTGGCCGCAATCTCAAACCTGATGATTGCCAGCCTATGATTTATCCTTGGGTAGCCGGCGGGAAGTAGAAGGACTGATGATCAAATTCGGGTAGGAAAGGTATGCTGCGGTAGAGGTGGAAGGTGGGATCCTCAAGATAGATACGACCTTACAGGGGGGGAAGGCCTATTGATATAGGGTTCGAACGTGGCAGTCCCTAAAATCGGCCGGCGGCTTAGGGCACATGCCTTTCATTATCTGCCTAAGCCGACCCATCACCAACGCATTCCCCATACAATCCACTTCCCCCGGGCCCTATACCCAAACCAAAGGATAGCTCAGAATCCACCTACGGAAAATTACCGGAACGCAGTGCCCGCAAGCCCTAAACCTATTAAATTATACCAAGGGTAGACAAGAATCAGATCCAATATCATACCGGTACTAAACTCTCCATACCACCCGCGAATATCCCATCACGCCAAACACGAACCCACCGCGGCGACACGTGCCTTCCCCCCGCATGACAACCAACCAAACCGAATTTCCTGCTTCAAGGTAAACAAACGGGCGACGAATCAACAAAGATGTCAACCGGAGGTTCACCCTCCAAAGCACTCGATCCACCGAGTACCACTCCGAGGAAACGCCAGAGCTTGCAGCATATTATGGATATAGACCAGCCGCGACCTGCCCGACGGAAGCTTGGTGTCCTAACTGAGATTGAGAATGACGGGTTGGGGAAGAGAGAGGAGAGGAGGAAGTCGGATCTCGAGGTTGATCGGGGAGGGAGAGGATCGCCAACTAGTTTGGCCAGGTTCCGTGCCGGGCTAGAGAATGAGAAGTGGGCCGAAGTCGGTCCGGATGGGTTACAGGATGGGCCCAGAAGGGAGGAAGGGGAGACGGCGGCGACGGGTAGGTCTAACGGTGGTTTTCAAGATGACAATGCTTATTATTTAAATACAGTCCCTAATCAGAACCCCCCAAAACCTTCTATTTCCGAATTATTGCTGGCGCATTCACGGCCGAAGCCGGGCATGGGACCTTTGCCCATGCCGCCGTTTTCGCTGCTTAGTCGACGGCAGGCGCAGCAGACAAGTGCGCCTGCTCCGGCTGCCGCCTCGGAGCCGGTGATGCCGAAGCTTAAGGCGGAATCTGGGCCATCACCGCTACAACAAATGCGCTTATTGCGTGTACAATTCGAAGCCACGGGACCTGCACTCCCACCTCCCCCCCCGCTACCCGCGCATGCTTCCCGCCCAAGCGGTGTATCGACTCACCCCCGCGCAACAAAACCCCCCTCTTCAGCATTTGCCCAGAAATACACCTTCACGCTACATCACCTCCCGCAACTAACTCACCATTCCAAATCCGCGATAATCTCCGTTCACCCACCAACACACATCCACCTCCAGCTCCGCAATCTGCAAGAACTCCGTGGTGGTGGGCAGTACTCTTACACAATACCATCCAGCTCTCTACCTATCACAGTCCGGAATACAACGACGTCTAATCAGCAGACTTTTGAGATTGAAGACTTGCCACTCAAGCACCTTCATGCTGTACGCTATGCAGGACGTTTTGTCGACGCACTGAGAAAGCGCACGATAGTCGCCAAGGTCGAAGTTCGCAGCGGCGGGGTCTGGATGGGGAGAATGTTTGGCGATGGGAAATTCGAGGTTATTGACCCTGCAGGAAAAATCGCTGGTGGGGTGGTAGGTAACAGGGTTAAAGGGCCAAGAAGAGTAGTGAAGATGTATGAAGCCTGCCAGAAAATCCTCCAGGATTCCGACGACCTCGGTCGTGGGGGGAAGAGCGACGACGAAGGGTTAGAGATGGACGAATTCCGCATTGATAAGAGAACGGATTTTGTGAGGGGTGTGGGATGGTGTCGCAGGAATGAGGATGGCAAGGGGTGGAGGATGATGTTTTTGGACGGTGTCAGGTTGGAGATTGAAGGGGCTAGTGGGGATGTACTATGGTTTGAAGGTGATCAGAGGAAGGTGCTCAAGAGGGGGATGGAAGTGGGTAGTGTTAGGGAGAGGGTCAGGATGTTCGTTGAGAAGGGATTGTAGAGATTGTGTCGGCTGTAGTACAAGCACGTTAATTTAGTTACGATACCAATGTCCATTTCGGGTTTTTTTCCCTCACTTTGGGCGGGATGTTAAGCTCCCAATGTATTGGGCTCTCCTCTGAACGCTTCGATTTTGGAGACTGACTTGTCTTGTCCTGGCATAAGCGGAGGGGGGCAACGGAACATTTGGGGGTGAATGAGGTCTCTGCTTTGGGTGAAGCTAGCAACTTGGAAAGAAAATTCATAATAGCGGGATGCTATAAAGGCAGGAATTTTGATAGCTCTAAACTCTCCAGTTTACGCCACCCGCAACTTCCCCCGAAAGGACACTTTCCCCATATAACACCACATTACTGGATACTATTTAAGTGAGTGATGTGCCATTCAATCAGAATACCCACCTTGAACGCCGACCTCAGATCTCCAACTTGACCATCTAAGCCTTTGGTAGTCTAAATATAATTTCAAGGTCGGTCGTCGAATCTCTGCGGTACAAGTATCGTACCTCCAATCCCCGAAGTCCCACAATAATTTCCATGTGGGCGTAGCACTATATTTACGATGATGATATGTGGACCAGAGGATGCACCCGAACGTTGCGCCAGCCCCCGGGCATCTTGACAAAATCACGCGGCCCTTCCGAAACAAAGTGTTTGAAGGCCAAGGGTCTGTTTCTGGAAAGGAGGCTCACATCTCCCTCTCCGGGCTCGGGCCTTGGATGAATTTCGCCCTCTGCCTTCTTATTGACTGTTCATAATGATGCCGGATCGGGATCACCGCTCCAAGCGAGCATGCATTCAACGAAAACCCTACGGTACTGTACTCGAGTACATAGTACAAGTACCGGTAATTCACCTTCTCTCATCATTCGCCATGCTTACTGTACCCAGCCCCTCAGCATAATTTGGGTCCAAACTCCCCAAAGATGGTGTTATCACGTTATCACGCTCTCTCGCAACCTGAGCATTCATTCATCCATTTCACTCTCGGTCCGCTCGCTGAGCTCCTCCCTAGCCTCACATCGGCCAAACTCCAGGCCCCGAGCCTCTGGTATGTGGACGTGCAAAACTTAAATATATTCCCCGTGTTGTTGTTGTTGAGCCCAAAATACCATATTGCGGGCAATAGCAACAGTGGGGCAGTGCATCTTGGCATGCCGCTCACCCACACCCACCCTCCCCCCAACACAAATTTTTTTGGAACACAGGACATATGGTTGTGTACCCGTAGACTACTGTGTACGAGTCGACTCATAAAGAATCCGATGACGGGTAGATATAGATCAGCAGACGTTCTTTTCAGCTTCCATGATTCCCATCCGAGATCTTGTGCCGGTGTTCCTACCGGTCGGGCCCATACAGTACGAGTACTGCTTGGGTGTTCGGCTGATGGCGATGCTGCGGGGAATCGTACGGACGCCCGGACCGAGAGGGCTTCGGGAGGGTGGTGCTGGTGGTGGTGGTGGTGTGAGACACGAGCGGAAGCTCCTATAGACCTTTCGCCGAGGGTTCAGCGACAAGCGGCCAAAGAATAGTGGCCAGGTTCGTCTACTCGAGTACCATAATGCTAGGGATACCCCTTTGGTGCATGATTTGGGTTTACATTTTAACTTTCGAAGCGCCGATGATACGGGTTTGGGTATTGAAAAGCGCTCAGAGGAGTTTGAGTATGGTGGGGGTGAGGACGGGCTGTGCTTGTTCGAATCAAGCCAAGCTCTTGAATGAGACCCCGTCGCACAAAGCGACAGAGATAATTGGTGTGCAAAGCGGCCTCCAGCCATGCCATTTTGCAAAGTCGCACTTGACTGGACGGGTTTCAGGTGATGGACTCGCCGGTTGAGTCGGGCTGGCCGCCCGGCGCAACGGATGGCCAATCAATCGTCCAATGTGGGCCAGTAAGGGCTTACAATGGCGCTTTTCTTTCCTTTTTCCTGATTTTGGAGTGGGAGAAGGCTGTGGTTGGGAGAGGAAAGGCCCTCTTGGGAAAAAGAGGCTGTTCAGATCGATTCTCGTCTTTTTTATCCGATATGGGCTGTCTCTCTGTCTCCTCAGCCCTGCAAAGGTGTGGTGATCCATAGAACGGAAGAGGTAAAGACTCAGAAGAGCAAAAGACCCATCAGCACCAACCACCATCGCTGCGTTTGTTGTTCGCCCGCTGGTTTTGCACAGCTGCCCTTCCAAGAACGACAACCCCCAAACAGAGCACCTCTTTCGGCCTCACCTTCTGCTACATACGACTCACGACAGACGGATGTCATCTTCATAGAATCCACCTTTCGAGCCACTGGGCCCCTTTAACAGTCTACTCCGATCCTTCCCCTCATCCCGCTGGAGTGGCCCGATAGAGAGGGGCAACGGAGGCAGCACACGGCACAGCACAGCATAGCATACCCGGACGCCCACGTATCTACACGTAGACGCACTTTTCCGCTCGGGTCGAGATCTGCGATTATCTTCTCCGCCACATCCATTCGCTTTCGCGGGGGGCGGGAAATAAAACGTCCAATATAACAATACACAAAGAAGGGTAGTGATACCTTCAGAAATAAGAAAACCTCCAGGCAATCAATCAATCAGTTAATCAATACGGCAGAGGGCAGAGAGAGGAAGAGGAAGATAAGGAATACACACATTCCACACCCAAGATGAATCTTCAGAGGAGAAGGTTATTCTTTTTGCTCACCATCCTCGGGATAGCGTGCATTGTGGTGGACGGAAGGCAGATCGCTGCAAGGGCGGTGATCCTGGAGAAACGGCAGATTGAGACTTTCCCCGGAGATCAGGTGACAGAGGTACGATTTGCTACGCCATGGAGGATTCAGCGTTGCCGGATGCAGATGAACTAAAGGCTTGTGGGGTTATAGGTTCTTACGCTGGTTGATACGATTTCTTCGCCTGCTATGACAAGAGTAGATGCCCGGCGCTCCAACTCACCATCCCTCAAAGGAAGGAGGCTAACCGTGGGCATCGTATAGGCACCTGTAACCGTAACAAAAGTGTCTACATCTCAGGGAGTCGTCTCAAAGACTTCATCTATTACACGTAAGAGGTATCTTTTGAGAAAAGCGCCGGGTTGTGGTACTGATATATATATATAAAACTACAGCATCCTCAATATCTTCATCTCCATCTCCAACCGCCTCTTCAAGTGCACTATACTGCAACGCTGGGTATACCCTCTGCGGAGCCGAACTCGGCGGTAGGTGTCGCTCTCCACCATCTTAATTTATCACATCTAATCCCCCTCTACAGGTGGATGCTGCAAAACCGGCTACACCTGCGCCCTAACCGGCTGCATCCCTCCGGCGGGAACAACCACTCCAGCGTCCAGTCGAGCGTGCGCAATTTCCAGCCAGACCCTCTGCGCTTCATCGATGAACTTTGGCTGCTGCGTGGTGGGACAGGAATGTGGTTTTTCGTCTTGCACCCTAGCCGGCGGATCTGCCGTGACCAAAGCCTCGGACGTCGACGCAAACAATCTCAAACTTTCTGCTACGGCAACCACCGCCGCGCCATCAACTACCACCGCAGCGCGGGAGAGCGAGAGCGATGAGGCACCACTATCCAAAATCGCGATTGGAGGAATTGTCGGCGGGGCGGTAGTGGGTATTATTGCGCTGGCATTTGCCTGGATGTTTACGAGGAAGCACATCAAAAAGAGGAGCAACACCGATGCTTCGGGCGGGGTACCCACAACAAATGTGTTTGATCCTACGGCGACGTTATCCGGACAGCACGGGAGTCACTCTTCGCGGTATAGGCTCTCAAATCCACCTGCTGCTACCACCGCCGCAGCTGCGACAAAGGTAACGGGGGGGGCCAAAATGAGTGAGTACCACCCGCACCATCCTGCGAAGGTATTGGCGACCGTTCCACCAGCGCATTCACCGCCTCTGCAGCACTCCCCGCCACCCGGTGATCAGAGGTTCGATTTCGGAATTCCTCGGGTGGGTGGAGGGCATGTATACCAGCCCGTACCCGCATCAGAACAGGGGCCGGTCGAATTGGGAGCTAGTCCTGTAGAGGGGTGGGGGATGGGTGAGTTACAAGGGGAGGGGAATGAAGTGTACGAGGTTGAAGGGGATGCGGGCGGACGCTCGCCGGGGGGTAAGAGGAAGAGTTGGGGTTGGGGGAGGAATTCAGGTACTAGGTGATGGCGGGGGGGAGCTTTTGAATCCTGGAAGCTGGAATGTAAAATAGGCTTTTTCTTCCCTTTTCCCCCCTTTAAAATACTCTCTTGTTTGTTTTGAGTTTGTGCTCTTTTTTATCATTGTCATTCGGCGGGGTTTTTGTCGGTCGTTTCTCGGCTCTATTTTTTTTATTTTCTTCTTTTCTTCCCCTTCCCTTTCCCTTTTTCACTGATTTTAATCTCCTATAGGGGTTTCTTAAGTTTCTTTATGTAGTTGGAGCGAGCGCCTTCTCCTTCTCCATCTTACCGTGGCTTGGATACTGGTGGGTAGCCAAGAAGGGATTAAAAACAAAGTAGATACAGCATGTAGTTATTCTATTCCATTCCATTCAATTTTCTTTTCCAATTCCCTCCCCATCCATCCATCCATCCATCCATGCTTCATCACATTCCGTACCACCACCCATTCATTCATCTTCATAACCTCTGTTTCTCTTCCTTTTCCACATAAACCGCCATCTCCAATTTAATTTACCAGCATAGCAGAACGCGAAGGGGATCATGCCTCCAATTCAAATCCCTGACCTAACCACAACTACGGCACTTCGAGTCCGCCGCAATCGACTCTGATGATTATGTACGACAGCGACCCTTTAGAGGAGGGGGAGGTGCCTTGCCACCGAATGCGTGATGTCCGGGAAATAAGGTAGTGCCATGCACTGTCAATCCTCATGGATTGTCATTCGGTGGTTGTCCGGTTCTGGTTGGTGAATCCTTCCTTATGGGGACTGCGTGCGCTGTGCATGACGGGGTTTGTATCGCTCGTGGCGCAATTGGATATTTTCATGTGCAGTGGGCGGGTACCATAGATATGGAAGGAAGGAAGGAAGGAAGGAAGGGAACCTGGAGAATATCTCAAGAAAACGTTTATCCCCTTCATCCAAGTTAGCGTCGTTAACGCCGAGTGCTCAAGTACATATCGAGACCGTTACACCAGCCTAATCCACCTGCAGGAATCATCACGCACCAGTATAATACACGGGAGCTAAATTATTATATATATATATATATATAAAGAGAAAAGCTTATCTCTATTCTTCTTCTTCTCTTCCTACTTGTCATCATTCAAAGCTGCGGGTCTCACCACTGTGCACAATATACACACACTCTGGACTTTTTTTAAAAAAATAAAATAAAATAATACTCGACGATATGATAATATTATGATATGATACTGTATCATACAACACCAATGGCGCCGTCAGCTTATGAGATTATCAACAAGAGAATCACAGTGATGCGGTGGGAGGGGTATGTTTCCGAGCAGCCCTGACAAACCGGTGCGGTATCATATGTATCGTACGAGCAGTCATCCACGGTAGGATACAGTGAGCGCGGGAGCGGGTATCCGCGACGGAGTCGTCAGCGATGAGAAATCGGCATATTATCATTATCATTATAAAATATCAAATGGCCGGTCGTGGACCGATTGGGTTTTATCATGTACAAAAAAGGCATGATACCTATCATACTGTGCTGACTGAAGAGCGTTAGGGTTAACCAATCCGCCGGGTGTCGGCGGTCGTGTTGTAAAATATCCGGTGTTCTTCGTTGGGGGCGGGCGGGCGGTCGGGCGGTCGGTCATGATATATATACCGATACAAACTCTGCAATACCGTACTCGATATCCGGTATGATACTGAGAACCTTGTTGCGCATTCGTACGATACTTGGAAGCGTGCGGGGGGGATTCTGCTCTGCGCTGTGCTAGTGCTGTTCTAATCTAGTGCGTGATACCGGCATGATGTTAACTCACGTCTCTGTGTATATACCGTGCTCGCCTCCTTCACGAGAAAGCACTCGGGTTTAAACATACGTGTAATTAATTCCCTATCCATCCAGTTTTATCCTTTAAAAACTTACTTACCCTACCACACCGCCAGGCGGTTTCATACCTGCCCGCCTGCAGCGCAACCCACTTCACAAGGACACGGGGATATTCGACTGGGTGGGGGTGAGTAGGACTGCTGTGCCAATATTTACCATGTACGATACTCTAATCTTCGCCTAGAGCAATGGGCTTCGTCCTGCCGACCGCGGCTTGTCTTTCTTTTTCGTATGCCTTCCTTAGATCGAGCCGGCATGCCGCGGTGTGAGCAAGTATACTATACTATGGCAAATCCACTGGTTCTTCTTGCTTTTGCGTGGCAAGGCAGGGGCGCCGGTGTTGCCCGGACTTGCACTGTAATTCAGCTAACGAAGCGCATTGCGATACCATCGGTGTCCTGTGCTCGTGCTTTGCTACTACACAATTCCTAACCGGAAGGGTTTCTCTAATGTGAGTGAGTGGCAGTGACTGATCCAGACTAAGCACGCACACACCCACCACCAACGCAACTCTGTCATCCTCTGCATGTATGATCCTCTGCAGGTGTGGTATCTCCGATAGCACGCGTGTGTATAGCTACGACCAGCCGCCCCCCAAGAAGGCAGGCTCATCAAGACATACCATACTCTCGCAACCGATGTTCTCTTCTTCCCGGGGTAAACGGCAATGCTTCTACCAATGTACTAGATTAAACGGACCATGCATAAAAGAGAGGAAAGAGAAGAGGAAGGCGAGGGAAAATAAAGGAAAAACTCCCGAAACCACCCGAGACCAAAAACCGGAACCGAGCCCCAACTTATGCATAGGAGATACTATGGATGTAATGAAGACGGATATAGAAAGAAAGGAAGGAAGGAAGCAAGAATGTATAGCGGAGGAAAGAGAGGGTGAAATTTTGAAAAGAATAAAGTGTACGTGAATAAATGTCATCGCTCTATAATCCCCTTTCCCAGCATCGCCAACTTTTCTGCCATTTCGAGTACGCCTCTACCATCTCGTCTTGCTTCCTCAATGTTCCTTTCCAGCTCTCTGACCCTAAGCTTCAATCCCCTCACTTCCCTATCACTCCCTCCACTCCCTCCACTCCCTCCACCTCGGCTGACCAATCCTCTACTTTCCATCCCTCCCATCAGCGAATCCCCATCAACACCTCTGCCCCTCAACCACTCCACCTCCTCCCTCAAACTTTCCATCTTCCCTCTCAGACCCTTCTCAACCCTAGAATCGCCCTCGGCTAGCCGTCCTGCGTTCACTAATATCCTCCCCCACTGCGCGCCCGACCTTCTCAATTCCATGCGAATCTCGTTCCGCTCTTCACGCACTTCTGCAAGGGATTGCTCAAGGTTCTCCACCGTGCCCTGTAATCGCTCGTGCGCGTTCGCCAAATTCTCATTCTCTTCCATGCACACGGCGAGTTTTGTGTTGAGGGTTGCGGCACGGGCTTGGGAGCGGGTGTGTGCTGCTTGCAGTGATTTGTTGGTTTTCTGAAGGGCGTCGCGTGCTTGTTGGACGGTTGAGAGGGTTTGTGGTGGGCTTTGGTTGGGGGGGTGGGATTGGGAGAGGGTTGTGGCTGGGGAATGTTGAAGTTGGGGTGGCGGCGGGAGTAGTGGCGGGGATTGAGAAGTGGGTGACTTCAACCGCAGGAGGAGAGAGGAGACAGTTTCTAGGCAAGTTGTTAGAGTCTCAATGGAGGGGATTTGGTGGGGGGTTATTTGTGCGGGAATGGTGTGGCTTGGGGATTGAGATGGCGCGGTCAGGTCTAGGACGAGATTGTGTATTGAAGAGACTAGGACTGATAGTGGGTGCAGCTGCTGCTGCCCTCTTGCAGGTGTTCCCGGCCGGGAACCCGTCGAGTTCTGCAGGTGGAACCTGTTCTGATTTTGACCTGCATAAGCGCTCCCTTGCTCCTCCCTCTCCCTATTCCTCTCCGCCTCCCCTCCCCTTCCACCATCCCTCTCCTGGGCCAGACCTTCCCGGAAGCTCCCGTTCCCACTCCCACCCTCATTGCCCCCCCTCCTGCCCGCCGCCGTCGCCGTTGCGACCCTCTGTGGTAACCGCGGACTCGGTGTTAAGGAGGGGAACGTAAACCCCTCACTCTCATCCGACAACCTCCGCCTCTTTCTCGAATTCTGACCCGAGTACCCCTGCGTGGAGGCACCGGAGACCGGCCTCCGATCCGTAACCAGCGAAGTCGTCATGGGCAGCGGTGGCAGCGATGGTCGGCCGTTAAGGTAGCTTGTTTGAGCTGTGGATGTGGTTTGCATTGACGAGTGTATCGGAGAGGGGTGTGTGGTTGTTGAAGACGCTGTATCTTCCCATGGACGGTACGATGACGGATGAGGCGGCGGTGCGGCCATGGCTAGAGTCGGTGGTGGCGGGAGCCGATTCGCTATCGGGGTGCCCGGGCGGTGGTGGTGGGAGTGTAGGAGGGAGGGGGAGAGGGACTGAGAAATCGTTTTGGATGCCAGTGTGTTGTTTCGCCCGTTCCTGGCGTTGTGTCGAGAGAGAGAAGACAACCAGACCCTGACTAATAAAAGGAAATGCTGAGTTGTGGACGAGCAACAGAGGTAAATTTAGTACTCGAGTGGTGTTTTGCGTTTCCTTCCTTCCTTCCTTCCTTCCTTCTTTCTTTTTTCCTCTGCTGTGGCGGATCAAGTTCTCCGCTAGAATTTTTCTGGCTCGGGTGTGGGGGAGTCGCGGGTATTTGACGGCTCGCAATGAATGAACGGTGACGGGAGGCGGCGAGGGGAAAGTATACGATAGATTATTAAGGAGAAGTGATATAATAAGATCCGAGGAATCCGGCCGAAAAAGCAAGTGGAACTGTTAGCTGCAGTACGTTCAGCTCCCAACTGACCTATGGCCAACCCGTCTACTGGTCCGATACCGACAATCTCTTGCTGCTCGCGACGTATCCCTTTCAAGTCAAGTCCTTTGTCGTGGAGGAAGCAAGAGGGTGGTTATGAAGAAGAAGGAGAGGAAGAAGGGGGGATAGGAGAAGGGTTGTTGGTTTGTGGGGGGAGCGAGTGGAGAAGTTATTGTTACCTCAACTCAACATACAGCACCCGTTCCGTAAAGCCACTTGCTCAGATCCTTACGGGGCCAGGAACACGGAATCACGGTGTATGTAATCCACCCGGACGAGCAGGGCGGGGCGAGCAAAGTACTGCATTGTATCATGTACTGTACTGTCCAATTACCGTAAGGCAGAGAGGTGCAGGCTGCTTACTCCTTGTCGAGGGACCCATCCATCATCGCCGTCCAACGCTCTGCACGAATGACTGAGGGGCGGATTGACAAGCCTGCCCTAGGCCTCGCGATAACATAAAGCTTCCCCCTGTTGCCGGGGCTCTATTACGAAATACGCGGGATCATTTCCAGGATGGGATATCTGCCGCGATACCGTGGGCTACTTCAGAGGGCATGAGGGAATGCCTGGTCTTGGCCAAGCGTACCAGCTGTAAGTGAGGGAGGTATGTAAATTATTCTGTGTACGTCCTTCTTTTTTTTTTTTTTTTTTTGCTGATCTTTTTGATTCAACCTTCCCCAGTAACTTCACCTTTTATCATCGAGCAGAGAGGGATGGAGGGGGAGAGGGAGAGGAGAAGGGAGAGAAGGGAAGAGAGAGGGGGAGAGATAAGGCGGTGAGAAACGCCTTGCTGTAGGGAGGAGATATAGAGGGAGCATGATTACCTGCGCTGCACAATCCAATGCAATCCAATCCAGCAGTCAGAAAACCCTTTTGTGCGAGTTCAATGGGTTGCAGTATTCCAGTGACCGTATACACCATGACACACCGGGGTCGGCACTCATGTCTGCAGCATGGAGGAGCCGTGGTAGTGTATTTCGGCCATGCCAAACAACTCATGGGTATAGTGTGGTGTAGGGCTTTGCATTCACCATCAACCGCATGGAATGTTGGCCTGCGGTACTTGCGCCCTGGGGAATTTGGTCATTGCTCTTCATATCGGAGCGACCATGTACTGTACGTGTGCCGTACCGGTACTCTGCATCCTGGAGATGCCTGGTTCGAGACCCTCTTGCGCCCTCGTGCTTTATGAATTGGCGGGCAGAATCGGTCTTTTGCCATAGAGGACGTATCGTGCTATCGAGTCCTCAATCTCGTGCGGTACCGGTGGCATACGGTACACGGAGTGGGGAGAATAGACGTCCCCCATCCCAATGATTGAATCCTAATTCACCTCTGATCCCGTTGTAGCGCTCCGTGTCTGAGACATTTCCACCACTCCCACAGCTACATTGTATGCACGGCAACCAGCACCGCATCATGTGTGGCCCTTGCCAAGTTCGGGACATGAGAACATAGGGCTGCTGCACAGTACGAGTACAGTAGGGTACAGTGCAATACAATACAGTACTGTACTCGAGTGCATATCGTGATTCATCCAACCAGATACCGCATAATTCCACAGCCCTGCATTCCCCAGCTGGCGGGATATTTTTCCCCCTCTCCCACCCCCAACCCTTTTCCCCTTTGGTAGTTAACTCCTACGTCCAGCCGTAGGCGAGTGAGCAGGGGGAATCGGCCCCCGAGTTCCCCAATTCCTCCTATTCAGGGTTTACTCGAACCGGCATGTCACCTGGGCGTACAGTGTACGAGTACTAGTACAGTACTCGTACAGGTATCATATGCGTGCGGATTAACCCATACGGTCCCCTGCGATCGCGGGATCATAGGGCAGAGAGTATTACTGTTTTGGGGGAGAGAAAGCGTGGGCATCGTGGGTGCGCAGGGTTATTTTTGGTTTTTTTCCTTTTGTTTAGGGAGAAGTTTCCCGGGTTCTGTTGAGGATGGGTGATGGGGCATGTTTCGGATGCTTATTTGTGGAAGGAGGAGAGGATGGGGTAGGTTGTGCGGTGGGACGGTAGGGGTTACCGGTACTCGAGTACGGGGGTTCGGATACGGGTGCGCTTGTCAATGCTTAAACCTGTGTTACGGTAAGTTAGAGATGGTATCCGGGAGGCGATTGGGGATGATGGATGGATAGGGTAAGTAGTTCTTGCTTTCGGTATGATGGCTTAGCTAAAAACTGTGGAACGTAGCGAACGAGCACTGGTGATACTGTGCTCGCCGATTTCAGGGATCACCATGGTCTGTAGGTTGCGGGATACAGGTCGGCTCTTCGGTATGGCCTCTCTCATTCTTTCTGTATCTATTGAGTTGGCCATTTCATAGCCAGCTTCATCTCCTCAAAACTCATCCAAATGCTGCAGCACCACCATAAGAGAACCAGCGAAGGTACTGACATTTACTATCGCCCCCCCGCTAACTTCCATATGGTACAGAAAACTTCTACTAATCACTTCACCGCTCTCGTATCATGCCTCTACCCCGTCCATATGTTCTACTCCCGATCACGGAAGCTACAGCGCAGAGTGGGAACTTCCGTTACTATCGTCCTGTGTGTGGTGGGGGGGGGGGTACTGTACCTTCCTCCCCTACATCAAACAACTGTACCCCAGCACGAATACCTGGCGATCCCGAGCTCAACTCCCTCCTGACATTGAATTGCGTTAGAAAAGACAAGCCTATCGACCTCCCTGGGCTCCAAACACATCACGATGCAGCACTGCCGTGGGAGATTCACTTTCCAAAATTGGCCAACTTTAGCTACAGGGGATGGTATGCGAGGGCGCTTTGTAGAGAATTCGAACCAGATTGCGGGGCAAGAAAAACACGGGTGGCCGCTGGGTTTCGCCGGGTAACTTTGACCACCAATGACACATCTGGTGTGATAACATTTTTACCCCGTGGGTTTGGCTGATGATTTTTTTTCTTTCGATGGTGCGGGGACAATCTTGTTTCCGTCATGGAAATACTAATCGGTAAGGTGGTATTGGGCTCGCTGCTCGGAATGCGGAAGACCGAGTACCACTTATCATGGCCATGATCGAAGTATTATATGATCCTCTGTGTGCATTTGGTCATGATTGCCCCAGCAGGGTAGTAATCAACGGTCTGGGCAGGGCTGAATGTCTGTGGGGTGGTCCAAACTGCAGCGGAGCTGTTGGTAACCAATTTGCCTCTGGTAGGTTGCCGTGATTACGAGGTAAGCGATAGGTGGTAGTCTCCCCCTCCCTCCCCAGCCTTTGCAGGCGTAGCTCCCTCTACTGTACTCGAGTAAATTAGACAAGTTGTGGGTATCTGTGGGTATCATGCTCGAGTACCGTACTCGAGTACCCTCTCTCACCGCACGGCATCGTACAATCACCCCCTGCTATCCCCACCGTACAGTAGAGCTTAACCGTTCCAGGCCCTACCCTTACCCAGCACCGGGAGTTTGGAACTTGCCAGGAAATTTAGTCATAAGAATTGGCTTTCTAGCGACCAGGTTTGGTGATAGTACAAGATTGCTGATCGATGTCTTGTGTGCGGTATTGTACTATCATAGTAATTTTGGGTTGAGTAGGGTGGGTACCGTGCCGGAGGGCCGGGATTCCGGGGGAGGAGGGGGTTGTTAGTAATGCACTTGCCGGCGAGGGACGAGACACAGCACGGCAGTGCCGCTGGTTTAGCCTAAAGGATAGCACAGTAATGACGGAGAACGGGTCCGCTAAGCCTACATAAGCGCAGTACCGGCCTTCTGTTGGGGTGAACCCCGGGTACTAGGCCTGAAGCTGAGTGACCCTCTTCCACTGCACTCCACTCCATTCCACTCCGCTCCTCTATCTGTCCAGTGTCCCTTAACCCTCTTGGTCTACTGCTGTGCCTTACGCCTTCATCGCTGCTTTCTCTGCAAGTGTGATACCTCACCAACTTCTCAAACCCACCCATTTACTAAGGCTGGCGGGCCGCCGGTGTACGCCTTGCCGAGCCCAAAGGCCAAGTACTCCTCTCTGCCTCACGACTACCCCTACCAGCTTCTACCTCCATGCCTACATGACCCAGCACATCCGGCCGAAAACTGCGGTGCTTTATGCAGAAGAGTGCTGCACCTCCCCTGAGGGTTCCAGCTTATGACGGAGGATGAATGAACGAGCGAACGAACCTGAGCCATTCTCGTATTGGTGCATTGCCATAGGATACCGGTGTTTTGTTAGCCATTTCTTCTTGGTAGTGATGATTAGTGATACTTACCCGGATATACAGTGTGTCCGGAATAATTCCTAAATGGTTCGTTTCCGCGTGCAGCATGGCCTGTAGGTTGGAGGGAAGGCAAGGAAAAAGGCTCCGGTGGAAGTTTTGGCATTTTCTGTTCGCCCGCCGGGAGGGGAGGTGCGTGTGGTGTGGCGTGGTGGGGTGAGGTGAGGGACGGGCATATGAGTTGGGGTTGATTTTATGGAGATCCGGAGTTGACACTATGTTTCGTCTTGATGTTCTAAACGAGTTTTGGAG